TGGAAGAGTAGAAAGAAAATTGTTTTATTTCTGGATTAGATAAGGTAATTTTCTTCTCCATTATCCTTTTCTATATTTTTTTCCAGATCTGACCGACAGTGTGTATTTATAATCAGAAAGGTTCTAATTGTTTTTAATACTCACATTCTTTGAACCGTAATTGATCTTCTGAGGAACATGCTTAAATAAACCATCTGACATACAAGACTTTTTTCTTCAACTCAGATGAATATTTGAGAATAGCACTTTTTTTCAAGCTAAACATTAGAAATGTCAAGTGCTTTAGTTGAATTTAGAATCTGGGAAATGCCTATTAAAATGTTAAAAGGAAAGTGGTTAGAACATATAAATGCAAATATCATATATGTTAAAAATAAAACCTGCAAACTTTGTAGAATGAAAAACGAGAAGAAAGTAAGTTGATAGACCTACTGATTTTTTTCCTAACCTTCCTTTTCTATATTACTCCAAGTTTTTTATAGAGATCTTATAAGTAGAAATACTTCTTAAAAAAAATTAAAATAACTGGATATTGCAGAAGCCAAGATATGAAAGAAAAAGTTATTAATAGCAACTGAAGAAAAATCCTTTTAAAATAACCAATGATTAGTTAATATATAGTTTATAAATGTGACATTAACACTTTTATTATGTCTATTTATTTCAAATATGTATTATATGTGTGGCCAGTTTAGAGATTATTATAGCATACCTAATTTATTCTTCTCAGTTATTACTCTCCATTTATTTTGTTGTTACTGTTTTTTTTTTTAAGATTTTATTTATTTATTCATGATAGACATAGAGGCAGAGACACAGGCAGAGGGAGAAGCAGGCTTCACGCAGGAAACCCAACGGGACTCCAGGATCGCGACCTGGGCCAAAGGCAGGCGCTGAACTGCTGAGCCACCCCCCCAGGGATCCCCTGTTGTTACTGTTTTAAGTAAAGCCACTCTTGATGTTTTTAGTAGTGACCAAGATTATTTAAGTGCTGTAGAATTCAGGGCAAGGATATTTTGTTTTGTTCTATTATGGAAATAAATAGAGCAGTAACAATGAACTCCCAAGGACCTACCATCTAGGCACTCATATTTCATTCGTAATCTTCTTGTCTCACAACTTGCCTCTGACCACCTCTCCCCTTGTGGATTATTTTGGAGCAAATCAGAGGTTCTACTGTATTTTCTCTTTTTTTCTTAGTCATAAGGGCTTACCAGGTTTTTGCTGAATAAAATTCTTAGAATCATGTAGGGCATAAATGTTTGAAGAGATCTAAATATTTAGTAAAGTCTGCATTCCCATCTAACTTCTTGAATCTTCTGTTAGTAGAAAAGTTGCTTCTGCCTTCTAAGAAAACCTTAAATACTTGACTAATACCAGCCCTTCAGCTGTACTTTCAATTCCTTTATATTATTTTTGGTAGCTTTGCATAGGAGGTCATTCATCAGGACACATTGAAATACTCTGTATTTTCTTGAATATGTATCCTACAGAAGTTAATGCATTATATTTTGAGCTTTCTTCCCTTTATATGAATTAATTTTTTAAAGTATTTTTCTGTTTTCATAGGAAAAAAACATGTTTTTTCCCCTTCTAAGGTAATTGAAATTTTTAGGCAACATATAAGAACTCAAAAATCATTTATAGCCGAAATTAAATGTGAATTTTGAATTTTTGTCTTTGGCAAAATTCTGTTAAATGAATTAGGAAAGACTTTTATAGACACCATGATAAACAGAAGTTCCATTTCATGTACAAAAAATTCAGGGTTGATAAGGCATATTAAATTAAGCTGCTAAGGGGTACCTGGCTGGCTCAGTTGGTGGATGCAAGTCTTGATCATGGGGTTGTGAATTTGAGCCCCATGTTGGGCATAGAGATTACTTTTTTTTTTTTTAAAGCTGTTACTGTCTATCTTCCACATAAAATATGAACCTACTGTTAGTGCTGCATTTAATGGGAAATATTTAACATTCCATCTTATAAAATACAGGACCACTGTCAATTAAAGTGCTTGAATATACTAATTTCTTGGGTTTTTAAAGTTTGGAAGAACCTCATAACTAACCTATTAGGAAATAGGATATCAGACTCTTGACTATAGAGAACAAATTCATGGTTCCCAAGTGGAAAGGGAGGGGCGGGAGATGAGTTAGTTAAATAGGTGATAGGGATTAAGGAGGGCATTTGGGATGATCACCTGGTGTTTTCTGTAAGTGTTGTATTACTATATTGTACACCCAAAACTAGTATTACACTGTATGTTACATAGAATTTAAATAAAAACTTTTTGGGACACCTGGGTGGCTAGCAGTTTAGTGTCTGCCTTTGGCCCAGGGCATGATCCTGGGATCCCGGGATCAAGTCCCACATTAGGCTACCTGCATGGAGCCTGCTTCTTCTTCTGCCTCTGTCTCTGCCTCTCATGAATAAATAAATGAAATCCTTTTTTTTTTTTTTTTTTTTTTTTTATTTATTTATGACAGTCACACAGAGGGAGAGGGAGAGAGAGGCAGAGACACAGGCAGAGGGAGAAGCAGGCTCCATGCACCGGGAGCCCGACGTGGGATTCGATCCCGGGTCTCCAGGATCGCGCCCTGGGCCAAAGGCAGGCGCCAAACCGCTGCGCCACCCAGGGATCCCAAATGAAATCCTTTTTAAAAAATAAATTAAAACATTTTTTAAAAAAAGAAATAGAATATCAAGCCCTAATGGCCTGAAGTTTTGTGTATTGTCTTCTGAAGAAGGACAGCATCACTGATAAACAAGTCTGACATAATTTTGTAACACATTCACATACTAAATAAGTATTGTTTTGCAGTATTTTACTGTGTGAAGACTGTACTTTACAATGTAAAGAATAACCTATGTAAAGTAAGAAAACATTATATTACTTTGAAATTAGAAGTACCACATCAGACTAGAAAACCAATCATTTTGCCACCTACTTTTAAAAGTTATCAAAAGGTCATAAAGAATTACGGATCATAAGGACCTTGCCCTTGCTCAGTTACATATAGAATTTGTATATAAATATATGAATATATTCATGAGCATACACGGGTATATGTGAGTGTGTATTTGCCTGCTCATCAGAATGCTAGTTGTTCTCCTTTCCATACACTGTTCTTGACCTTAAAGTGTAGAATATTTCATCTTCTATCTCATGTCATATCTAATATACTCAGACTCTTAAAAAATTTTTTATAGTTTTAAGTGTAAACTAGTGTGCATGTTAAATATTTGAATTTTGAATGTCCATTCCCATGCATATTAATCATTGTGTGTGACCAGAGTGTCAAGAGGCCAGATAGTAAAATTTGAGGCCTTGTGAGCCAAGAGGCAAAATTGAGGGTGTTATGGAGGGTATTTATATAACCATTTAGAATGTGACCATTTAAAACTGTATAAAGCATTCTTGTCTGTTGACTGTAATTTGCTGACCCCTAAATTAGAGTACAGTCCCATTATTTAATATTTAGTGTCTAGCAAATCATACAGGCAAAAAATAGTCTCAAACCTGAATATTGTGGGACACCTGGGTGGCTCAGTGGTTGGACGTCTGCCTTTGGCTCTCGGCGTGATCTCAGGATTGGTGATCGAGTCCCATATCGGGCTCCTTGCAGGGAGCCTGCTTCTCCCTCTGCCAATGTCTCTGCCTCTCTCTGTGTGTCTCTCATGAATAATAAATAAATATCTTTAAAATAAATAAAAATCTTTAAAAAAAAAAAAAACAAGCCTGAATATTGTGAGGTACCTGGGTGGCTCACTCCATTGAGTGTCTGCCTTCAGCTCAGGTCATGATCCCAGGGTCCTGGGATTGAGCTCCACATCAGGCTCTCTGCTCAGCGGGGAGTCTGCTTCTCCCTCTCCTCCTCCCCCCTGCCTGTGCACACTCTCGTGCTCTCGCGTGTGCTCTCTCTCTCTCTGCCAAATAAAATCTTTTTAAAAGAAAAAGAAAAAAACTGAATATTGGAATGCCTGGGTGGCTCAGCGGTTGAGCGTCTGCCTGCGGCTCAGGGCATGATCCTAGGATCCGGGATCAGGTCCCACATCGGGCTCCTTGCAGGAAGTCTGCTTCTCTCTCTTCCTGTGTGTGTGTGTCTCTCTCGTTCTCTCTGTCTCTGACTCTCAGGAATAAATAAATAAAATCTCTTTTAAAAATAAATAAACCTGAATATTGCAATACATTTTTAGACATAGTAATTTATAGAAAGTTTTTTTAAAATTAAGTATTTTATCAAGAGTGCATTTCTGAAAGCTTTAATAAGGTAATGGTCATATCTTTTGGAAGTATTGATTTTCTAGTAGTACTATACATATTTTAAAAAATTTTTTTAAATAATCTCTACACCCAGCATGAGTCAAACTCATGACCCAAGATCAAGAGTGGCACGTTCCACCAACTGAGCTGAGTCAGGCACCTCTAGCGTTTCTATATTTGATGCATATGCCACCCCCCTCAACTTGTCTGTGTGGAATTAGATTGAATAATGACTATCAAAACATTAACTGAGAGAGTGATCCAGTTCACAGAGTACTTTTACATAGAAAACTCTTTCCTGACACAAATTTATTAAAGTCAAGCAATTGAAAATTAAAATTTAACGAGCACTAGTTTTGTGCAAGGGTCTAAACTGCATTTTTATTTCATTTGTATACATTGAACAAAGTCTTGAGGCTTTAAAAATGGTTCCCAAATGTTACTATAATACAATACCTAGGTTTGCTAATTCTTCTTTCCTCAAACAGTGACTTGATATGGTATCAGTTCTTTTTTTTTTTTTAAGATTTTATTCATTTATTCATGAGAGACACAGAGAGAGGCAGAGACACAGGCTGAGGGAGAAGCAGGCTCCATGCAGGGAGCCTGACGTAGGACTCGATCCTGGGTCTCCAGGATCACGCCCTGGGCTGAAGGCGGCACTAAACCGCTGAGCCACCCGGGCTGCTGCCCCAGTATCAGTTCTTTTAATCAGATGTCTTTGGTTTCTTTGCAGATCTTCTCCAACAGTATCGTACTGCTGTGAACAAGTCGAACAGTGTGATCGAGGACCTTAACCATCAGTTAGAGTACCTTCACACTCCTGATATGAAGAAGAAAAAACAAGAACTTGATGAACAAGAAAAGAATCTGAAACTGATCGAGCAAAAACTAGGTTGGTGCTTGCTTTTTGTTACCTGTACTTTCTCTGCATGAGGGCAGATATTTATGATTAGAGTTTAACTCCAAGAAGAATGTGAATGACGCATAACCCTAAGTCAACACTCTTATCCTCCAAGTCATCTGATAAATGCTTATAAGGTTTTCTCTTACCAGAAATAGTAGGAAGCATTCTCAGTATGATTAATTCTTTTTCTATAAATTAAGATACTATAATAATCCCAGTCTTTTAAAAGTTCATTTTCTGTGTTTTCTGTCTTTACAGGTATGACTCCCACACGGAAGTGTAATGACTCATTGCGCCATCCAGCAAAGGTTGAAATGACAGATTGTCCAATTCCTCCTAAAAGAATGAGAAGAGAAGCTTCAAGACAAAATAGGTGAGTTTATTGTGACCTCTGAGTTATCATTGGCTAGTTTATCAAAGCTCTTAAGTCATACTTGAAAATCAGCATGGGGGGGCGCCTGTGTGGCTCGGTCAGTTGAGAGTCTGATTCTTGATTTCTAGTCAGGATATAATCTCAGGTTCATGGGATCAAGCCACCAAGTCCGGCTCTATGCTGACTGTGGAGCCTGCTTGGGATTCTCTCCTCCTCCTCCCTCTGTCCTTCCCCATTCATGTGCTCTCTGTCTCTGTCTCTCTGTCTCTGTCTCAAAAATAATTCTAATAATAAACTTCTTAAAAAAATAAAACCCAGGATGAATTTATTACTGATTTCTTCTTTGAGCCAGAATTAGGGGTTTAGTTTGATTTGAAAAATCTAAGTGATAAATAATGAAGATAAGACATAATTATCATATTTTCCTAGGATACTCCAGTTTTCTAAATGATTTTTACTAATTATTTGGAAATGTTTCTAGTTTATGTTTTGTTTAAAATCAGTGTCAAGATTTAAATTGCTTTTCTGTTGTTTGGCTTACCTTGTAAATACACTACATTCTGCTTTATAAGATCAGCAGTTTGCTGAGTTAGAATATACAAAACCATTTGTATGTTATTCATTTTTAAAATGCATATAAATGGTTGGTTTGGAAAATCAGATACCATTTAGATAGCACACCGAAAATCCCAGCAAAGCTACCTGCAACCTAACTCAATGGTAAGACAACTGTCCTTTTTAGATTAGGTATTAGGCCATCCTTTGGAGGATACCATGATACTGGGATTTCTTGCACATTATTTCAAAAGGTTTAAATATGGACTCTGCCTGAATAAGTGTCTCATTGACTATAGAGGAGTTTCTTTGAGACTCTAACAGTCAGAATTGGTATTCCATGCCCTATCCATCTACATATTCTACATTTATTCAGTTATTGTTTGAATGCTTATTTTGTGCTATCTGTTGCAGATGAGTAAAAGTAGCATAGTTCTTGCTCCCTCATGGAGCTCTACAGTCTTGTGCAGAAGGATAGTTCCAAAAAGTAAACATTTTCCTGTGTATGGAGTAATGTTAAGTTCTATGAAAGAAAAAAGGATGAAATGATATAAATGATGGGGAAACTATGTTGGTTGTCAGGAAAGATGCATTTTAGAGAAAGGATGAGAAGCTGCCAGCCATATAGGCATTGGTTTCAGTAAACAGAAAATAATGAACGTTCTGAGAAAGTAGCAAGTATTGTATGTTTGTGGAACTGAAAAGATGTTTGTGTGGCTGAGGCATGGGAAGGGGAAGAAGCAAGAGTGTTTGGAGAGGTAGGCAGAAGCCAGGTTATCTGCACTCCCAAAACAGAGAAATTTGTGTTGCAAAAAATTGTGAGAGAAAATTCCTTATCTCATGGATATCTTTTGAGTACCTAATATTGTGTCCAGATGGGGGCAAGTGTCTTGGAATTGCTGCCTTTGAATTATGGAAGAGAGATGAAATGATAATGAGATTATAAGAGAAGTGTTTCCACATGTGAGCATGTGAATGATGTATATTTATTATGAGCACGCAATATATATATATAGGAACTATTAAGCTGACTGCTGAAAGTGTGTTGGGGTAGTACAGCACCAGAAGAATATTTGTAATTGGTTTAAACACAACAGTTTTTACAAATCATAAGTTCAAAATGATGCAAGAGAATCTTCACTGATGATCACTGGCAATTGCTAGGGTACCAACTCATTATTGTAAAAATTGATATATCCATATAGTAAAGACATTATTTTTTTTTAAGATTTATCTGTGTGGGGGCGGGCAGAAGAAGAGGGAAAGAGTCTTAAGCAGACTCCGCGCTGAGCGGGGAGCCTGATGTGGGTCTCAATCTCACAGCCCTAAGATTATAACCTGAAGTGACTGAAAGCAAGAGTCAGACACTTAACCAACTGCACCACACAGCTGCCCTTTTTCTGTTTTTTTTTTAAGACATGTTCTTACTTAAATGAACTGTTTTTCAGAGTAACCAAATAGTTGAAGTTGTGTGTGTGTGTGTGTGTGTGTGTGTGTGTAAGCATAAGGATAGTATTTAATGATTCATCAGTTGCATATAATACCCAGTGCTTATTACATCATGTGCCCTCCTTAATGCCCATCACCCAGTTACCCCATCCCCCTACCCCCCTCCAGCAACCCTCAGTTTGTTCCCGTAGTTAACACTCTTATGCTTTGTCTCCCTTTTGCTATATTTATCTTATTTTTCCTTGAAGAAAGTTATTTATAGAAGTTCTTCTTTAAAAGGCACGATAATTAATAAATAAATAATAAAATTTTAAAAAATAAAAATAAATAAAAGGCACGATAAAATTGCGACATGATTTTGCCACCCCTAATAAAATAATAGATTTAGGCAATAATAATACTCAAGTGATTAAGTAAAAAATTGATGGGGAAACTTAGTAATGGAAAGATCAGATTGATACACACGAATCCACTGATTGATCTTAGCAACACTAAAAGTAGGACATTTACTATTATGTGATTGAGTAGGAAATAACCTGAATCCAGTGAAGCTTCTGATTAGTGTTTCCTGAGGTTCTGCGGAAGAAGTCAGCAATCCAGAAAACTATTTTCCCCAAGATAGTGTGTAAATGGTAACCTCCTAGGTGCTTGGGAAGGAGGTTAATGCATTGTAAAGAATAGATACTGTAAGACATGAAGCTTAAATCTCTTACAAATTAAGAACAGTTTGATTTAACTACAAGTATAGAGGAAAAAGGAAGTTAGGAACAAGTTAAATGATACCACCAAGAAGTATCAGCCAAATCCAGAATGTCTAGAATGGTACATTGTATGGGGCAAATGCCAGTTTTATTAATAAATTGGTTCCATAAAAGAAGGAAAGGAAGAAGGATGAACTATTTGTTATAGAATAAAAGTGATTGAAAGGTATAAGAATCCAATGCAATGTGAAGTCCTTGTCTGGATCCACATTTGAATGTTTAAAATGACAACTTTGAAAAAACTTGAAGAAATTTTAGTATCACCTAGATATTAGCTACATTAAGAAATTATTTTGTGTATAACAACATCGTATATTTACATTAAAATAAGTATATTATTAGAAATGTGTACTGAGGTATCAGTTAAATAACATGATGTCTGGGGTATACTCTAGAATACTGCCAGGGATGCCTGGGTGCCTCAGTGGTTGAGTGTCTGCCTTCAACCCAGGGTGTGATCCTGGAGACCCGGAATCAAGTCCCACATCAGGCTTCCTGCATGGAGCCTGCTTCTCCCTCAGCCTGTGTCTCTGCCTCTCTCTCTCTGTGTCTCAAATAAATGAATGAATGAATGAATACATACATACATACATACTAACTAACTAACTGCCTGCCAGGGGGAGTAAAAAATGATAGGATATCAAAACAAGATTGGGCAAAATATAAAACTATTGCAGCTTGAAATAGGAATTCAATATATAAATCCCTTTATTTTCATGTAGGTTTACTATAATTTTTTGCAGCGTTATTTTGTTGTTGTTTATTTACTTAAGTAATCTCTACACCTAACATGGGGCTTGAACTTATGACCCAAGAATCACATTCTCTTCCGACTGAGCCAGCCAGGCACCCCTCCTATAATTTTTAAAGAATATCCAGGTTTGTAAGATCAGGGAGGAAATGCCTACCATGCAGTTCTAGACTAAAGTATATATTCTTGAAGCTGCCCTATATAGCCTCAGCATTGAATTAGCCCTAAACCTTGCAGTTACTACAATACAACTACACATGTCACTAATTTGAATCCTAATTAAGATTTTGTAGCAATTCAGAGGTAGTATGGGCTAGAGTTGATTTTTTTTTATCATGTTGTTAGTAGTGATAGTATCATTTCCATTGAAGTCATACATGTAAATAAATCGAATGGTATATAAGATTTAGTGTTGTAATGTGAGCCATATATGTAATTTAAAGTTTTCTAGAAGCCGGATGAAAAAGAAACAAAAAAAAAAAAAGAAAAAGAAACTGAGATTTATTTTAATAATTGATTTTTTTAACCCAGTATACAAAACATTATCATTGCAACATGTAAACAGTGTAAAACATTCTTGAGATACTTCAAATAATTTTTTCATACAAAGTCTTTGAAATTCAGAAGACAGCAAATCTTTAAGCACTAGTTACATGGCAAGTGCTCTGGAGCCACATGTGGCTGATGGATACCAAATTGGAGAGCACAGGTGCGAAAGAGAGCTTATGATGATGAAATCTTCTATCTTCTGCATCTTGATGATGAAATCTTCTATCCTCGCATCTTCACCCATCCATTCCCCAGAAGCAACCTTTGTTTTAATTATTTAATTTTAGTTATTCTGTTGTTGCCTCCCTCTTTTTTTTTTTTTTAAGATTTTATTTATCTATTCATGAGAGACAGAGAGAGAGAGGCAGAGATACAGGCAGACGGAGAAGCAGGCTCCATGCAGGGAGCCCGACGTGGGACTTGATCCCGGGACCCCAGGATAACGCCCTGGCCCGAAGGCAGGTGCTAAACCACTGAGCCACCCAGGGATCCCCATCTCCCTCTTTTTTGTATACTCTGTCCATCTTAACCGCTTTAAGATAGCACAGGTCACCTGACCACTTGGTGTGGATGTCCATCATCCCTAGCTTACTTAATGACTTTCAGACTGAATTGTTTGGAAATGTTTTAGAACTTTCCTTCTGTCATTATATTATTTAGTTATAGTCTGTACTATAACCACAAGCAAATCCTCTATGCTTTTTTTCAAAGATAGAAAGCTATAAATGCACACATTATTTTGGCTATGTAAATATTTAGTACTAGGCAGAGTTGTGTGCTAGGATTTTATTGACTTCTCGATAAAGTTTTAGGCCACCAATTAGGGTTCCAAATATCAAGATCAAGTGAGTCTTCCATAGTGTATCAGTTTTTTTAAACATGCTAAATTTTAACTCAGTTCCTATTTAGACTGTTTCTCGGATGTTAATTTTTCTGCACTTTCGAATTTCCTTTTTTTTCCTTTCACTATTTACCTTTGTTTTTTTCTAAAGAATTTATTTGAGAGAGTGGGAGCATGACTGGGAGAAGGGGTAGAGGAGGGAAGAGAGGGAGAGAGAAAATCTCTCAAGGCAGACTGTGCTGAGCGTAGAGCCTGACATAGAGCTCAGTCTCACCCTGAAATCATGACCTGAGCCAAAATCAAGAGTTGATCAACCACCTAAGCCTCCCAGGCACCTCGTTTCACTGTTTACCTTGACCACGTACTCTTCCTCCTCCTCCTACAGTGACTAGTAACTATATATATATGTAGATCTCATGGGTCTTATTTGGCTACTCTTGGGTTGAATCCACTGTTTCTTGGATTCCTTGTGTTTCTCTCATAACTTTCTTAGGAAAAGTGTATACAGAAAAACTTGGGAGTCCTTGTGTATCTGATAATGCCATCACTCTGCCTTCACATTTTTTTAAATTTTATTTATTTATTCGAGAGAGTGCACAAGGAGAGGGGCAGAGGAGGAGAGAGAAAGAAAGAGAATCCCAAGCAGACTATGCACCAAGTATGGAGCCTGACATGGGGCTTGATCTTAAAACCCTAAGATCATGACCTGAGCCGAAACCAAGAGATGGACTCAACTGAATGAGCTACCCAGGAGCCACCTGCCTTCACGTTTGATTGAAGTTTTCTGGGGATAACCAGAAACAAGTCTAGAGTATACCAAAAGAGAAGGGACAGGGAAATAGTCTGGAGACCGTGGGAGACGTTCTGCCTGCCTGATGGAACTCATGAACAATAGAGTGAATGGGAGCAAAATGAAAAAGGAGAGGAAATCACAGCCTAGAATATGCCAGATTTTCAAAACAAATGTTGATTTCCTTGTTTCTAGGAAACAAAGATGCCACCACAAAGTTAGACAATAGTAGTTAATTAAATTTTGGGATATTGGCTTCAGGTATAGTTGGTGGCACCCTTAGATGCTTATCTAATGCTGCCACCTAGGGAGTTAGCAGCCTGATAGTTGGCTCTCCAGCCATGCACTTATAAAGCAGAGCCTGCTGGCTCTTGGACTCTGCTCTGCCCTGTCCCACCTAAAGTTTCCACTCAGAGGAACTTGATGGAAAAATAGTTATGATTTTTGTTAACAGGAGAAAAAATCCAGGCCAGAAGCATTCTTTTTCTTAAATGTAATTATACAACCAAGAAACATGCATATGAGAGAGTCAACATGTGAGAGAAAATCCAAGATAAATAGTAAAACCAACCCTGGAAGCTGATTCAACTGAACTTAAAATTTTTAATTCCTACTTAGATTTTCAGGAGTTCTATTAACGAAACTCAGAGTGTATTATTAGAGACAGCCAGGATAAGATCACAGATTACAAATACTATTGCTGAAATAAAAATTTCAGAAGACTAAAGTCAAACTTCCCAGAAAAATAGAAAAAAAAATATATGAAGGAAACATAGGGAACCAATTCTGTTCAGAATCCTAGAAAGAAGAAAATGGAGAAGTAAAAAATACATGGAAGATATTTTCCCAGGGATAAATTAAAGGGTCCACTGAAAGCCCAGCACAATTACTGACAAAAGATGTGCCAAAATATGTTTCATAATACAGTTTTAGAATATCAAGGAAAAGGGGAGGAGTGTAAACGTTTCCAGAGAGCAAAACAGAACCATATTGTCTACACAACTTTTGACACAGGAAGTAGACACAAATTTCACCATTTTTGTTTAGCTTTGTGGTGGCAGTGTTACAAGTTTTAGGTTGGGGGTGCCTGAGTGGCTCAGTTGGTTAAACAGCTAATTCTTGGTTTCTGCTCAGGTCATGATCTTATGGGTCATGGGATCAAACCCCACATTGGGTTCTATACACAATGAGGAGTCTGCTTAAGAATTCTCTCCCTTTGTGCTTCCCTCTACTTGTGATCTCTACTTGTGCTCTCTCTCTCAAATAATATTTAAAAAGAAAAGTTTTAGGTTGAAAATTTGGTACATTCTATCTCATGGCTTTCTCCCCCTTTGCATACTATTTATATTTGGGAGGTTTAAAATCAGTTTAAATCTCCATTAAAAAAAATTTTTTTAAGAATTATTTTTATTTACTTTAGAGCACAAGTAGGGGAAAGGCAGAGGGAGAGAATCTCAAGCAGACTCCTCAATGAGCCAGAGGTAGGGCTTAACAGACTGAACCAACCACCCAGGCACCCCTAAAATTTAAATTAAGATTTAATTAGTAGTTTCCTCATCCTTAATCTCTATTAGTTCTCCATAGATCTTGAACTAATAATTCTTGTACAGTCTCGAGCATTTGAAATAAAAGTATCTTGGGGTACCTGGGTGGCCTAGTTGGTTAACCATTCTACTCTTGATTTCAGCTTAGGTCATGATCTCAGGGTCGTGAGATCGAGCCCCGTGTCAAGCTCTGACACCTGGAGCCTGTTTAAGATTCTCTCCCTCACCTTCCACTCTCTCTCTCTCTCTCTCTCTCTCTCTCTCTCTCTCACACACACACACACACACACACACACACACACACACACACACATACACAAAAGAAATGAAAGTATCTTACAGTGTTAAAATGCTGGTATAGTTCATCCCTACAATTGGGAACAAATATTAAGTAGTAAACAGCAAGCAGCATGACTTTGTATTTATATGTTTTATTTTTATTTGTATAGGCATATACTACTATGTGTAAACTGAGATTATATACCATGTTTCATCAACTCTAAGAGGATATTATAAAAATCATTTCATGAAACATTAAAAAAAACCTTTAGATTAACTCATGCCATTAAAAGGTAGAGTTCAAAGATGTTAAATGTGGGGGAAAAAATGTGGATCTTGGAATCCACAAAATCTGCTTAGCAGTGGATGATTCTCTGCAGTAGATTCAATAGGGGCTTTAGTTTTCTAATTGATTTTCTACTCATAGAGTAAAAATTAGCTGTTTATCAAAAACGTGTCTTCTATTTGGAGATGGCAGATCAAGGAACTTTCATTAGAAAATTATTTAGATACATCTGACTATTATCTGAATATATATATGTGTATACATATATATGTATTATCTATATATAATTAGATTATATAGATATAATTATATGTATGATTAATATATATCTGACTATATACACACACACACTTTGTTCATCTCTATATGAATGGAATTATGGATATTTTAAAATACTTGTCCTTATTTTGTGACTTTCTGTAATCATTATAATTCTTGTTTACTTTTAAAGTAGTAATTTCATGTAAGAAAAGGGGAAAAGAAAAATGAAACTCTTCAGTTTTGGGGTCTAAGATACACTGTGGTATTCCAAAGAACTGTGGTACGAATTGCTTAACCTTTACTCTATGTGTTAAGTGCTGCTTTTATTTTGAGGATCTCTCTCTCTCTCCCTCTCTCTTTGGCATACATGTGACAGAAGTAATTATATACAAAGATTTAATTAAATATGTTTATACTAGGGTGCCTGGGGTGGCTCAGTGAGTTAAACATCTGCCTTCAGCTCAAGTCATCCCAGGATTCTGGGATCAAGTCCTGCATCAGGTTCCCTGCTCCATGGGGAACCTGCATCATCTTCTCCTACTGCCTGCCACTCCCTCTGCTTGTGCTCACTCTCTCTCTGTCAAATAAGTAAATAAAATCTTAAAAATAAATAAATATGTTTAAATCAAGAATTACCTAATTAATGGAACATAGTTCCATTTGGTATTTAACCATCTAGTTCTGCTGAGGGAGTTTAGGAAAACTATGGTACATAAAATTTATTTTTTTTCCACATTGACCAGGATTATAACCAAATCAGATGTGTGAACAATTACAGAGAAGAGGAGGCCATTGGTCTCATGAAGAATGCTCTGCCTTCTGCAGCTCTGTTTCAGAAGACCGAGAGGGTGACTTACCGGACTGAATATTTCTGGGGACAATACGATTATCTGGGCATGCGTTTCCATGTCAATCCAAATGGGACTGGAAACAGCTCTTCAATTTTATGAATCTCACGGGACAGTATGGATTTACTGGAATTATTCCAGTCGTCATGCCCTTTGGTTGCAAATGTATCAGAGGAAAATGTGCAAACATTGCAGTGACTGTAAAACTGGCACATAGCATTTATTAATCCTGAAGAAAAGCATATGTACTATTTTTCAGTATGATTATCATGGATATGCTAGAACTATTTCTTGAAAACAAACCTTTTTATTGCTTCTGTGTGAATTTATTTAACAAAACTTTTTTGTCTGTTGAGTCTAAGGAAAGCTCTAGAGGTTAAGTATTTAAATGTAAATATGTGAGGAAACTCTTAATGAAGAATTCAGAATAAAAATAGAAAAAGCACAGGTATCTGGAAATTCAAATGTTGAGATACAGGGAGAAAAAATTGATGAGTGAATTTGTAACAGCAGTAGCATTTTAAATTTCTAAAGACTTACCTGTATATATATATATACATATATATATAAACTATGCAGCAGCAATTTTTTAAAGTATTGTTTGACTTTATTAATACTAGATGATATAGTCTCAGCCTTAATTCTACATTTTCATTATTTTGTAATTTTTTATTACTATTTTTAAAGGGTTACAGAAGTCGTACACTCCCACATTAATAATAATCTGCTAGAAAGTTGCTGCAAAAACGTTAAAATTCTGTGTTGATTCAAGCTAATGTATGTCAATATATATGTTTTTGTGTAAGTCCAGGACTATTGGTTTGTGAACTTATTTTGTAAGGAAATGCTTTTGGTACAGTTTTGTGTCCCAGGAAATGTGTGTGTTTTTAATCCTTTCTGAATATACAGTGAGGTTAATAAAGAGGATTGTTTCTTCCCTATTAAATACATAAGTGTTTTCCTTTTTTAACACTGAAAGCTCTCTAAAAGTTACTTGGTAAAAACTATTACAATATTGATTTATCTTTATAACTGGAAGTCATTTAACTTTTGTTGAAGAAGGAAATAAATTGGCAATAATCTAGCTAAAGGAAAGAATAGATTCCTTTTAAATGACACTTTCTTACTAGTTAAATGTTAGTGCTAAAAAAAGAGTTCCAAAAAAAAGAGTATAGTCATATACTTTTGACTATATGACTTATTTACAATCATTATGAAATGGGTGAGATTGTTATATTTTTAGTATGTAATTTTCTAATTATACGTGTTAGTAAAATGTTTGCATTTATATCCTTTTTATACTGTCAGAATGTCTTCAGTTCTGTCAGCTAAACATTTTCACGGAATCATCTCTTCCTCTTCATGACTGTGTAATTACATTTGTGAAATTATACATGTTAATTTTTATTTGCATGCCTGTTGAACACCTTGTATTTCTTTTGACCTCAAAAAGAGATTGCCTTTTCATTAACACATATAAGTTTAAATTTAGGAATAGAGAGATAGCAACATTAAAATTCATTGTAGGACATTTGGCCTTAAAATACTAATTATCGGGCAGCCGGGGTGGCTCATTGGTTTAGCGCCGCCTTCACCCCAGGGCGTGATCCTGGAGACCCAGGGTCAAGTCCCATGTCGGGCTCCCTGCATAGAGCCTGTTTCTCCCTCTGCCTGTGTCTCTGCCCCTCTCTCTCTCTGTCTCTCATGAATAAATAAATAAAATCTTTAAAAAAAAATACTAAGTATCTTAAACATAAGGTAGTTTCTCCAAATCTGGCTTTGTGCAAGCAGTTATTTCGTTTACAGATGCATCAATAACCTAAGTGTCTGAAAATATCTTAATTCCCTTTTGGAGAGTGATCAAATTGGTGTTAAAGAATCACCTATCCCAGTGATAAGTAATTTATAGTGTAGACAGACATTCATAATATTATGTTAGGAAGCCTAAATTCAAGAAAAAGTCCAATAATATGAAATAGATTCCCAGTATTCTGATTCTTTAAACCATGCTTTAACATAAACAAATGTGGAATAGAAAATATTAGTAATTATATCTCTGCAAAGTACTGTACTTAAATCTTTGCTAATAGCATTTGTGTTTACCTTTCTCTTGTGTTTTCTCCCACACTTATTCTTAATTGTTTTTTTTTTAAGGTTTTTATTTTTAATTTATTTGTTAATGAGAGACACAGAGGCGGAGACACAGGCAGAGGGAGAAGCAGGCTCCATGCAGGCAGGCTGATGCGGGACTTGATCCTGGGACCGCCGGATCACGCTCTGGGCTGAAGGCAGACACTCAATGGCTGAGCCACCCAGGCGTCCCTTAATTCTGTTTTTAATTTTTGAAAAAAATAGAAAATTGCATTTCATTTTTCTATATTTTTATTTTAGAATAAAGAATTATGTACCTTGACTATTTACTTGATATTCCATTTGGGAAGATTTTAATTTTTTATTGGTGTACTTAAATATAATTGGAATTCCGTTTTATGCTTGAAAATAGCAGGATCAAAAACCAATTAGAGTGAGACCATTACTTATGCTGTGCTAGAAAGCCAGGGAAATCTTGTAGATATGAGTTCTGTGATATATTTAGTGGTAAGTGGTTAGCAAATTTAGTGAAAAAATTTATTTCCATTTTATAGACCAGAAGTTGGTTTCGATTTGTTAGACTTCTTACATATTTCTCCTCTTCAGTAGTTTTGCAGAGTGAATTACTTCTTGGAAGAACTGACAAGTCAACCATGGATCCCTTTGTCAACTATAATGATATAATGAAAAGTCAGAAGAATCATAAAGAAACCAATCAGATCTGTTGAAAAAGAATAATAAATTGAGCTCTGGCTACATTTGTATGAAATAGGTGCTAATTGCATAATGTTTTATATAGTAGAATTTAGATTATTCTAAATAATAATGGATGGTTAGAATGGTTGTCTAGAATGGAGTGCCATTTTCATAAGACATTTATAAATATGATTACTGAGATGCTTCAAAATATAAAACCAAAAAATTGACCTTAGTTGTTTGAAATACAAAATAATTTTTATTGCAGAATTTATGAATTCATTAATTTAGCAAATACTTACATCTGCTATTTTGCAAACTAGTGTGTCTGACCTGTGGCCAAAGATAATTACTATCAATTAATGAGTAACATGCTGAATAAAACATTTACATGTATGTTATTTAAAGAAGACACAGTACATTAAAAACATTTAAAAGATGGAAAAGGATACATGCAAATAGGAATCAGCGAATTTGGAGTTATATCAATACACAAAATCAACTTAGAAGCATGTTATTAGAGATAAAGAGAGACAGGGATTGTTTTTTTTTTGTTTTGTTTTGTTTTTTTTTAAGATTTTATTCATGAGAGACAGAGGCAGAGACAAAGCCAGGGAGAGAAGCAGGCTCCCTGCAGGAAGCCCAATGCAAGACTCGATCCCAGGGCCCCAGGATCACGACCTGAGCCAAAGGCAGACGCTCAACCACTGAGCTACTCAGGTGCCTGAAGAGGGACATTGTATAATAATAAAAGGGTGAATCCATCAGGAAGATATAACAATTCTAAATGTACATGCATCTAATGACAGTACCAAAATACATGAAGCACAAACTGACAGAAATGATGAAAAGACAATTCAGCCGTAGTAGTTGGAGACTGTATGCCCTGTTTTCAATTAGGGATAAAACAGCTATACCAAACACAATAGAAGACTTGAACACTATAAACCAACTAGACTTAATAGACCTATAGAACATAGCACCTAATAACAATGTATATTCTTCTCAAGCACACAAGGAATATTTCTCATGATAGATCATAAACTAAAACATAAAACCTTTAAAAATTTAAAAGGACAAATAATACAAAGTATGTTCTCTGATCACAAGGCAATCAAATTTGAAATAGATAATGGAAAACTGGGAAACTCACAAATAGATGGAGATTAAGGAACTAGATAACCAATGGATCAGAAAAGAAATTTAAAATTTCACAAAATATTTTGAGATGAGTGAAAACATACAACATATCAATTTATGGGATGCAGCTAAAGCAGTGCTTAGAGGGTAACTTAGAGCTGTAAATGACTAAGAAAAAAATCTCAATAACCTGATCTTTTACCTTTAAAACTAAACCTAAGTAAGCAGGAAGAAATAGAGGTTAGGGTGGAAGTGAATAGAATGAAATAAAGACTAGAAATACAAGGGAAAGAAGTAATGAAACCAGAAGTTGTTTCTTTGAAAAGATAAAAATGAGATAACTTAGATGAAATTCCTGGAAAGACACAAGCTATTGGAACTGACTCAAGGACAAATAGACAACTGAACAGACCTATAACTAGTGTCAAGATTGAATCTGTAATAAAAAACAAAAAAGCCAAGGCCCAAATGGATTTACCACAATTCTGCCGAACATTTAAAAGATTAATGCCAACGCTTTTTGTTGTGGATCATATGCTATTTAATAAAAGAAATAATGAAGTTGTGTTTCCCTCTTCAGCATTTTCTTTAAGAGAAAAATCTTGAAATTTATAGGGATTTCTGATGTCAGAAAACCATGAAATGTAAGATTATTTAACCATTTGCATGTCTTAGTTCATGGCAGTCAGCATATGTACGGTTATAATTTGCATTCCAGTTACTCAGACTGAGATAGCCTTCCTCAGGTTAAATATAGTGTGAATAGGAGATCTCTTCTAAAAAGTAAGATGGAGTCTGTAGAATGGCCTCACTGAATTGGTAAGTTAGCTTTCTCTAGATTTTGGTGATTTCCCCAGTTCTTCCATAATTTCTCAGTGTTCTAGCCATCTTCTGGTAAGTCATGGTCTTCTGGTTGCCTTTTCTTTTCCCTCAAAGTTGGGCAAGTTTTTCTTTGTTTTTGTTTTTTAAGTAATTTCTACCCCCAGTGTGTGGCTCAAACTCATGACCCTCAAGATCAAGAGTTGGCATGCTCTTCTGACTGATCACCCAGGTGCCCCCTTCTTTTTTTTTTTTTTTTTTTTTGTTAAGATTTTATTTATTCATGAGAGACAGAGAGAGAGGCAGAGACATAGGCAGAGGGAGAAGCAGGCTCCATGCAGGGAGCTTGACGTGGGACTCCATCGATCTCTGGTCTCCAGGATCACGCCCTGAGCCGAAGGCAGCACTAAAGCGCTGAGCCACCCGGGCTGCCCCCTTTGTTTTTTGATACAAACTGAAAGATGCCTTTGATTTTATCTACCCACTGAATGGAGGATGCCACTTCAGGATTACACAATCATGAAGATACTCAAACAGTTGGAGCTTCTTCCTGTCTTTGCTTCCCTTTTGCTGGAAAACAACAGGTTGTACTAGCTGGTTTTCAGGAATGTTCAGTGGACGATAGGATCCAATGGTACATTAAAATAATTATTCGCCATGACCAAGTGGGATTTATACCTGGGCTGCAAGGGTGGTTCAACATCCCCAAATCAATCAATGTGATACACTACATTAATGAAAGAAAGGACAAGAACCATCTGATCCTCTCAATAGATGCAGAAAAAGCACTTGACAAAACAGCATTCTTTCTTGCTTAAAACTCCTCACAGTATAATTAAATATAATAAAATGATAGTTGATGTCCAAAACCCAAAAGATTCAACCCCAAAATTGCTAGAACTACAAAAATTCAGCAAAGTGGGAGGATATAAAATCTATGCCCAGAAATAAATTATATTTCGATACACTAACAATGAAACAGAAGAAAGAAATTAAGGAGTCAGCCCCATTTGTAATTGCACTCTAAACCATAAGATACCTAGGAATAAACCTAACCAAAGAGGCAGGATCTGTACTCAGAAATCTATAGAGCACTCATGAAAGAAATTGAGGAAGCAACAAAGAAATGAGAAAATGTTGCATACTCATGGAAGAACAAATATTGTTAAAATCTGTGCTACCCAGAGCAATCTATACTACTCAGTGCAATCCCTATCAAAATACCACCAGCTTTTTTCACAGAGCTGGAATAATCCTAAAATTTGTATGGAACCACAAAAGACCCCAAATAGACAAGAATGTTGAAAACGAACACTAAAGCTGGGGGCATCACAGTTCCGGACTTCAAGCTGTATTGCAAAGCTGTGATCATCCAGACAGTATGGTACTGGCACAAAAACACGTAGATCAATGCAACAGAATTGAGAACCCAGAAACAGACCCTCAACTCAAGGGTCACTAATCTTCAACAAAGCAGGAAAGAATATCCAATGGAAAAAAGACAGTCTCTTTCACAAATGGTGTTGGGAAAATTGGACAGCC